ATTGAACTCTTACCCTGTGGCTCATTCTTTGTGAGGTTGACCTGGGGTTGGCCATGTCCATTGTTTCTCGCAAGGTAAACTTGTCTCTGTCCTTTTGAATTCAATAATCACTCTCTCCCCTAAATCCCTCTATCCCAGAGCTGGTAATGGTTCTGCTGTCACTAGCTCAGAGCCATCAAATTATCTCCCGTGGTTCCCCTACACTGCTCTCTGGGAAGTGCCACAGTGAATACATTTTTTTCAGATTATCTTATCTCTTGAATTGGATACTTCCAGAATACCCTCTCTCTTGAAGGCCCCACCTCTTTTCTCTTGGAACATTGTGTCAGATACAATTGACATACCTTCACAGATTCACTTGGGCCCCCTTGTCTCTGGCCCCTCAGTTGCTCACTCATGGAGAACACCCCCCACACCAGCCCCCACCACTGCCCATGCCACAGCCACCAGCATTGATCACTCCCATGTCTACACCAAGGTTGTCACCAAGTCCCAGCATGGCCTCCGCTGCTCCCGCTCTGGTGGGAGCCACAACAGCTGGGACGCCCAGGCCGAGCGGACCCAGGGGCCTTTTGTCCCTCCCATCACTTATGCTAATGAGGTGACTTTTGGAAAGCAGCAAAAATGGAGACTGGCTGCCAGGGGAACCAACCATGTGAGTTGTATAATCTCTGGTTCCCTGCATCCTTTACCCCAGAGCCTACTGTCGTCCACATAGATGGTATCTCGTGGAGACAGGATCTAGCCTATTGGTACCAACAAAAGGGGAACTTGATCCGTCTACTCCGATTCCCAGCACTCCAAAGCTAACAGCGCGTAAATGCTGTCTCACTTCTGCTCTGGGATTTTCCAGGCTCTCAATAGCCAAAAAGGAAACAGTGAGGAGCAAAGAGCAGGGTGGTCTGGTGGCAAGGCTCTGAGGTTCCAAGTCCAGGGTTTTGGTTCCCATCCCTGCCTTGTAAGCAATTAAATTTCCACTTTAGTCAGATCCATAAACTTGTTGTAATTCAATTTCTTTTCCTATAAAATGAATCTTAAAGAATTCGGGGACTGGAAGCAAACTGAGAGATCATCAGTTTCTACCCCACAATTTCCAGAGAAAAGAACAGCAGGAAAAAGTGTTGGGAAAAGGCTTTGGCTACGACAAAGGCAAGACTCGTGTGAAATAGGATTGCTCTTATTAAAATACTCCCTCTGAAATCTCTTGGAAATACTCTGTCAAAAACCAAGACCTAAAAATAGGTATAAATCACACTACCATGTGCACATTTTGTTGTCTTACAGAGAAGAGTTGCATAAGCACATACGTTTATGCATAAAATATCTTTGCTAGCAGCAAGTGCTTCTGGGAGCAGAACTGAGGAATGGGAGGGATGCAGGTGTCAAGAGTGAGAGGAAGGGCTGAAGAGGCACTTGCCAGATCTTTCTGTTCACTGTTGCCTGCTGTCAAGATGAGAAAAGGAATGTTGGGTTTCAGGGAGAAAATTAAAAACTAGTTTCCATGTTCATTCTCTTCCTTTCCTGTGCAATTTAAATAAAATAGAAACAATTTGGACTTTCTTGCTCTCTGGCCCTAGTGAAGACTCACAGAGGAGTCCACACAGGGAAGCTGTGAGAGGTAGAGAGAGACTTGTAGGCCCTGAGTCACCCCCAGCCCTCTGTTTTATTGGGAGCAAATTTTAGCAAGATGAGAATTTCCAATCAGAAGAAATACCTCAGCAGAAGGAGTGGGGTGTATGGGTAGGGATCATGCCATTTCCTTTTCACACAAACCCAAGAGTTGGCAGAAGACTGTGCTGGTGCCAGCTGTTGTCCCATAAGTTCTCTGTTGTCATCACTGCCTATGGCTCAGAGCCCCACGGTCTGCAGTGGTGCTGTGGTGGAAAGCAGTACTGAACTGGAAGTCCGTGCCACTCCTAGCTCCAAGCCTTCAGCTGTACCAATCAACTCTCTTTCCCCTGACAACACTCATTTTCCTTTTCACCTTCTTGATGCTTAGGATAAATGTTAATTAGGCTCAGATAAACCAAGTCTGTTGGAATGTATAAATGGACCACTCTAGAGACATACTCCAATGAAACACGAGAGTTTCTGCTGTCTGAAATTCTGCATCCAGGTGGGAAGAACAGACCTGAAATACATTCAGCATCACAGAGAGAAAATTTAGCATGAATTAATTAGAGAAAATAATAATAATAGCCAACATTTGTGGAGCAATTCCATATCTCTTCTAATCTTTAGTGTTATTCATATGATGATAAAATTACTAGGCTGACACAGGGCACCTCTGTGTAAACATAGCATAATAATGAGAGAATGCTGTGCTCTCTAATTGATTCCTCACTGATCTGCATTTCCATTTGGCTTTCTTTGTATGGTCATCTGAATGAACAGGTCTATGAAATCATCTCCGGCAGTCTAGACAGCCAGATAACTAGCTTTTATCATTTCTATCTGCAGTCACTGACGAAACCGATGTCTCTGAATTGGTTAAGTACCTAGAAACGCCCCAGCACTGAACATAAATGAAGCTTATTCTCTGTTAATTATGGGGGAGATTGCTGAGTGGCCATCTCTAATTTTGATTTTGAAGGGAGACAAAACATACTTCCCATGCCTAGGTGAAACATAGAGGTACAAGTCAGGCTCCAGCTGTTGGGGGCCAGCTGCTACTCCTGGGCTGAGGGCCTTTGAGCATTGGAGTAGGGTATATGATTACATGAATGCCCTCATCTGAACACTCACCCCAGAGAAAGTTAAGCAAAAACCTTGGTGAGGATGTGTGCAGCTTAGTATACAGCTTTGTACACAGCTACTTTGCAATGCTCCTCACTCTGGCCCAAAGTGGACTTTTGAAACTATGTTACAGTAATCAACGTTTTTCTTGTGCATTTGAGATGAAATCGACATTTGAAAATCAAGTTCACAGGCAACAAGTAAAACTGCAAGTAAATGTCCAGCCAAAAAATTCTTTTTGGAACAAATGGGGATGTACTTCAAAACAATTAACCTTCTAACAATTCGAAAATTCGAAAATGGAATGTGCTTCCATTCAACATGGATTGAATAAGTAAAAGGGGCTGGGACCCTCCCTTACTTGTTCCCTGCAGAAGCCAGCACAGTTTTTTGTCCAGAGACAGGCCCCATAAGACTTCAGCTCTCCACTAAAAAGCCCTGTTCTCCCCCTGGGCGCATTCCCTCCTGGCTGCCCTTGAGGGTTGGCCCTGGACCCATAGCATCAGCAATCTTTACTCCCAGTCACATTGCATACTTACAAAAGGAAAAAAAAAATCAACAGGCCTTCTAGAAAACACTGGTGTTTTGTGCAGGGCAAATTATGCTCAAACACTGACACTGTCTTTGCCAGTAATTTATTTAACACAGGTTTACTGTGGGAATTATAATTTATAGTAATAATATTTCACAAGCAAATAGCATACAGGATAATGCTTCTTAATAAGCCTACAAAGAAATAACTCCAAAACAATGAAAGATTAATTACACTGTTGTTCCAGGCAAAGGGGAGGCGAAAGAGATAAAGTCCAGATTTTGATGAGGTGTGTATACCTTTCTATGAGTTGGCTCTCGGTAAAGTCAGTCCTTCCAGCTAAAAGCTGGTATCAGCTGCCAGCTAAGCACCCTCACAGCTTGGTGACATAGCTAGCAGGTGAGCTTCTGAGGAGATAATCCTCCAGGGACTCTTACGTGGTGTGCTCCACTGCCTATAGGGCACAGTCTTGCCAAAGCTGAACCACGTGTCCCTTCTCTTCCTGACACTGCTGTACAGGTAACACCATCACTGACCAAGAGTGACTTGGCCATAGCAGAGGCAAGTAAGTGTCTCAAGATCTTTAGAGAGCCATTTAGATCAGCTTCTCTGAAGTTGATTCTCTGTCCAGGAGCCCATCCTAGGCTATAACTCTTGGTTTCCTAGGGCTTCCTCTGCAAGCCCTCCTCAGGGCACACAGGTCTCAGCCTGGAACGTCCCCCGCTAGCTCTTAGGACTGCTCTCTCAGTCTCCACGATCCGGATCAGCTCTTGGCAAACAAACACCCCCGAGTCTTTCCACAAGCTCTAATTTATTTAAAAGGAATGTTTCTCTCCAAGTGGAATTTGTTAATGGGAACTCAATTCATACTGACCGTTTGTCATGAAAATCATCAAAAGTTGCACACCCTGACCCAAGGCTGATCTGGAATAAACATGAAGGTGGGCACAGGGCCAGGGAGCTCACTTTAGTGAGAGGCCCCCAAGACAAAGTTTCATTAGCTTTATGGTCAGTCCACCATTCACCTCTGCCCTGAATCCCAGAGGCAGCACTGTGACTTCTCTGCAGGGAGATGACCTATCACTTATGATGGTCTACCACTCACGAGCAACACAGTATGAGGAAGAAAACCAGCACCGGAGTCAGAAAGGCCTGGGTTCAAATACCAACTCTGTCTTCTTCACTTACTCTGTGATCTTAAGCGAGGTTATCAACTCCCACTATGCCTGTTTCCCCTCTGAAAAAAAATGTAGCAAACAATGCATCTTTCCTGTGCATGTTGTGAGGATTACAGGGATGGTGTGTTTTACATAACATGTTTAATACTGTCTGCTCAGTGAATGACAGATCAGTCCATTCACAGTTTGCACTGGAATATGTGCACATGATCGAAGCAGGCCTCATGCAAAGGCCAGTTAGTGACTACCTTGAGGAACAATAACAGGCACCAAGTATATATTCAAAGGTAATATAAATGTATAAAAACAAGATGCAAAATAGAGCCAGACTTAGCCTGAACTAGTGGCGAACAATTATTTTTCTACCTCAACTTATGGAAGGGATGCAACATATTCCAGATGACAATGGCTTAACACAGCAGCAGAAGAGGGACATGCATACAAGTTGCAAAGCTCAGATATTTTTTGCCTCATGATACATGTTCCCTCCAATGTATAGCCCAAACCTAAAACCCATCCCTGATCCCAGCTGAGAATCATACTCTTTATAATAATTAAGGCAAAATACTGAGTTTATTTGACTAACCATGCTGGAAAAGGTATTGGCTTCATTTGCATGATGTAAAAATATATTTTAAGTAGGAATACTCTTATAGTTTACAATGTTAAATATATACATTTATATATATATAAGAAAGATTCATGAAGGCTTTTGATATAAAACATACACAGTATGCTATTTTAATATACAAATCCATAGAAGAAATAGAATCACAAGAATTACAAAAGTAGCATCGTTAAGAATTTACAAAAGTTTCCATTTTTCTTAAAAGTCACATTCTCATCCTTTGGGATGTACAGAAATGATGTGGTTTACACAGTTTCATCCACATTCAAAACATCATGTTTTAAATGTCTTAAGCATAGCATATACAGTACAAAATGTTTCCATAGGAACATAACAGAACCTGTCACTAGTGGTCTGCTGTCAGATGGCTCCTAATTAACCAGTTAGCCATTTTAAGACACTAGTTCAGCCTACTGCCAACAAGTTGTTCTATTCACCTAAAACAGGACTTTAATTTATATTAGAATATACTGACAAAGGCTCAAAGAGTTACCATATAATATATACCAGTATACACATAGCAACCATTCTGAGTTAAATGAAGTTTCCATACTTAAATCAGAAAAAAGAATAGTTATTTTAGGCTAATATATTATCACTGTGATTGATATTTTAAAAATTTTGAGCAAAGTGCACAGTGAATGGAATCAGTCACCAGAAATGATCCTTCTATGAACTCTCAACTTCTTTTGAGACACGCCACCTGAGACATGAGAACTTTTAAGACCTTGTAGGTACCAGGGCAGCTTCATAAATCAAACACACAGGAGCCATGTGGAGACCCGTTCATGAGCAGGGGAGCCCCACACTGCCAGCTAATAAATGGTGCAATTCACTATATAGAGTCCCTGTGCAGAGTCAGCAGAACCCAGCTTCCAGACATAAATGCTGCAGATGATGTCATCAATCAGCCATACTCTAGCGTTGGTGGACCCCGTACAAGGTTCAAATAGCCAGCCAGGGCTCCCAGGTCTATGTAGAGAGAACGTTGTCTCTTTAGCATGTCTGATTCCTCAGTGCTTCCTGTACATGAAGAATCTGAAAAGGGAAACATTGAAAAATAAATGATTAGGGGACATGTTCAATAATAAATACCTGTTCCTTCTGAAAAAAAAAAGTAATATTACTAATACTTTGGGCCTAATGAAACAGCATTCAAAGCTCTGCTTTTTAATAAATACAGCTGAACACTATGAGCTAGTTTATCTAATATGACATAGAGAAAAGAGTTCAAATAAGAGTCAATAATGATGAGAAATTAGCTAGAAATCCTGGCATATTTTCTAACATCCCAGATGGTTCTCTTTAAATACAGAAAAGTCAGACAAGAAGCAGAAAAAAAAAGAAAACAAGCATTCCAGATTTGACATCTGGGTTTGGACCTAAATGGATTAAGAATGCCACAGATTTTAATAATAAAAATAGAAACCCCTCTCCATGTATATTCAATGCTCCTGGAATGCATTACTGACCTTCCTAATGGGAAAGATTAACAGCTGGCAAAGAGATTTTAAACACAGAAAGACAGAAATGCAAGCTGAATTCAAACTCAGTATTTTATTTGTGCAAAGCAATTCCATGATATTTCCAACCAAGGACTGGTGAAGTTTACCATGAATAAATTAAACAGACACCAGCTCTTTACTAAGAGCAAAACTGTCACGCTTGATTTGTTTTTAAAGGCAAATGATATCCTCTGTTGCAAAAAAGCAAGTCAGAGGCAATTCTCAATGACTGTGTACCTCCATTTGCCCTGAAAACTTATTACAGTTTGCTGGTAAATTAGCCAATTTAAAAAAAAAATGTTTTTGCTAACATTCTGGCTGAAATTGCTCAAACAACTTACGGCAAGCACTCAAGAAGTGACTCCTGTGGTTTTCCCAAGTGCTTTCATGAACTATGTCAGAGGTTTGATGGAGACAGAAAAAGCAAGCAAGCAGAGACACTGGGCACAGCAAGGTGTCCATACCAGCGATGTTCTCAGGAAGTTCCAACTCCTTCCTGCTCAGCAGCCTCTTCCTCTCAAAGAGAGCAGAGTCCAGACTCTGACAGCGCGGCTGATCCTCTCTCGGGGGGTTCAGGGCGTCGTGTTTGAGTAGGTCTGCTGCCCTGGGGCGGTGATTTGGGTTCCTTTCCAGGGCGGCTTCTATTAGCTCTCTCATGCCAGGACTACAGTCACCTGCAATATCTTCTAACGGAGGGGCTTGCTTGTGAATCTACAACAAACCAGCTCTCTCTCAGCATCAGTCATATGAAAATACACCCTCAACAGGAAAAGTTCTCTAGAAACAAGACCCTGGAAAGTCATTTGTTTCCCCCCTTGTGTCCTGGCAAATACAGACCATACTCTTAAACAAGTTTTCCTTTAATTTCTTAAGGACACTGGGTTAAACCCATCTTTTGGGTTAATGCAATCAGGGATACATGCTAGGTCTGAATAAACAATGATAGCTTTATATCTGACTATTGGCCCAAGGACTACTGTGAAGTAATGGGGAAGTATCTGCTCCTCAATTTCTCAACAATAAAATGGGAGTTGCATGTTTCACTACATGCTAGGCTGGCATGGAGATCTGTATGTAGTAGTACCTTCTTTATGAAAGAATTCTAAAACCATATGTAACTTCTTAGACCCAAAGATTTATGCTACTTTGATATGCTGAGTGGCAATTTTTGATTACACATATAACAGAATGCCACATAATTTATGACCAATGCACATGTTAGTAAGTTCCCATTAAAAGAGCAATGCCTTCTTTGCAAGAATGGGTCTTCCCTCCATGTGGGAGGAAATTTCAACTTCATCTCATGGATTGTTAGTTTACTACCACCCCCCTCAGGTGTGTTAAAGGACGGAGAGCAGCTGGGACTCCTCCCACCTCTTCCTGGGAGATCCCTACTCACTATGTACAGGTAGGAGGGATAGGCTGAGCGAGGGTAACGCTTCACCCAGGGCGGGGTGCCGGTCTGCATGTGGATGAGCGTGGCCCCCAGGCTGTAGATGTCTGCTTTAGTGGAATGGCCCCTGCAAAGGATCACCTCTGGGCTCATGTAGATCTGAAAGAGCAGGAAACATTGGTCTGACTTGTCTCATTTATCTGAGCTTCCATGTTGATTTCCCTAGTCCAGTTCTGGCACCTTTACCATATTACTGAATGCACATGCCTTCAGAAGAGCATGTCGTCACTGCATTCCCCAAATAACAAAGACACCCTCAGGGAGCCAGGCTGCCCTGGCCGGAGATGTCCTTGCAGCCTTCCAAAAACACCCCTTTTTTCCCCACGGACTGAACACATGGTAGATCTAACAGCCGAGAACCCACCTGGGACTCCCACTCATCCAAGTTCTGCAAAGCACTGATTGATGTTTAATTTTTCTGTCAAAATATCAATTCCTATCCTTTTAAAATGGACACTACAAACGTAGTTCTTCACTTCATGTTTGTCATTAAATCGCCAAACCTCTAATTATCTGCAGCGATACGAGGTGGCAGAAGTCCTCAGCATAGTAACACTGATCATTTGGAAGAGAAGAACTTAAGCTAAAGCGTAGCATTAAAAGTGATTGTGATTAGTCATTTCTATGAACTATTTCTCATTTCTTCCAGCCATGAGCCCAGAGACTAAATATTAAAGGCTTGCCACATTAACACTGTATAAGTTCTATTTGGTTTCATGAATTGATACTGGAAAAGTAGGGTTAGTTTTAGAAATAGTTTCTCTAAGAAGTGTTTGTTTTTAAACTTAAAAAAGTAAGAAAAAGAGAGCAAACACTGGTGACCACTGATCTGCATTATGGCTGGGGCAGACATACAGTAGGTATCAACCTAATTACCAGTATTTATCCCTAAGGAGTTTTTATACAGCCTGTCATTTGAATATGGAGAGGGGTAAGTGTTACCGGAACACACTTCAGAGTGAGTAAGTGAAGGACTAAGTTACAGAAACGGGAAAGTGCCCAATTTTCCCCATCCTAACCAAACTCAACACCTTCCTAAAACTCACTTCTGGCTGGTTTGTTTGTTCCCTTGCTCATTCATATTCTGCATGTGCGTGCATCCATGCATATGTGTGTGTGTGTGTGTGTGTGTGTCTCAGAAAACAGACTAAACTGAACTCCTTGTCTTCAAATTTTTCCTGAAGCAAAAACAGAATATTTGGATACTGAAAGACTTTCTTCTACATATAATCACAAAATTAAACAATAAATAGAGTGGGTGGGGAGTAGCTGGCAATGGAGGCCGCCTGCCTCCTCCCCTACTAAGCAAGGAGCAGGCCACGTATTTACGGTTGGTGTAACCATCGGCTGCACACACAGCACCTGAAGGCTCCCAGTGGCTGCACATTTGAGGACAGCAGTGTCCTGTCCACCTGGGGACCTAGCTCTGGCCCCTCAGGCAGATGCCCAAGAGCCCATGGCTCAGAGCTTCTGCTTCCTCAAACTCCTCAAGAGCCAGAGCAGCAGGGCGTGGTGTTCAAGGACTCTTCAGGCTGGAAGTCTTCAGGCATGAAAGAGGCTTGAGGGGACCGCGCAAGGGTCTCTGACACTTGCATTCCCTCAGGCATGGGCACTGGAGCAAGGGTACTAGATGTTGGGGGTCAAGCCCATTACCTCTCAACACATTTATTAGAAAGGGAAAGAGACTGTGTGTGCATGTCCGTGTATGTGATGATTATGTGTTAACTTACATAAAATAAAACCAAAGGCAGACTCAGGAAAATATAGGAACTTTTAAAAAAGTGCCATGCTACAGAAGCTATTCTAAATAGCTATTTTCATTAGTTATTCTTTCCCTGCATCATACATTAAATATGCAATACATTAAATAGGTGCCAAATTAACTCTGGATAGGTATTATATGGTTACAATATAATGCTCTGAAAATGAATGCTGAGGAAGATAGAGAAAGAGAGCTCCAACACAGGTGACAAGTGCTTCCTGTGGTGAGCGATACTGTGATTGGTCACCTATGGCTAGGCATTAGCCAAGTGACCCAGTTCCAGTGGGAAGCAGATCTGCATGGTTGATTTGGATTCAGTATCTTCTTGGTGCTTTAAATATGAATGATAGAAACAAGCTTGCTAAAGGTTTCATGGGTGACTTCACAACCTTGCTCATTATCAAACTGTAACTTGTGAGGACCAAACAGATAGTTAATGCAGATTGACTAGAAAAGAGGTTATCACTCTGAACACCAAGTCAATTTAGCACGTCAGAAAAAGCAGTTCACATTTGCTGAAAGTAACTCAATCCAAATACTATTCAGGAGTAAACAGCTATTATCTCACATTCAAGCATACAATCTCTTTGGGCTGCAGAATCCCAGAATCTTTCTCCAGCCATTGCAAAATGTTCAATTTGATCACACTGCCGGGAAGAGAAAGGTATTTCTCATCTTTAATAACCATAAGTAGTTTGCATATCAAACTGGCTCCAGGAAAAAGAGTAGAAAGTCGTATCTGAAGTTCTGACTAATGCCAAAATATGCTAGTACATTTTCCAAAATAAACATGTCATAAGCATTAAGTCTTAATAGGTTTTGTGCTTTGGTGAAGTATTCTTAAGACCTGGGGACGAAAACATTTTTCTAAGTCTACAGTTTTCTCTTAGGAATATAATTCTGCTCAGAGAAACTTATCAAGGATAATGTCCTAAGTATTTTCCAGAATAACTTAAGTAATACCAGCAAAAACAAGGATTTCTTCTGTTGCCCAGGAGAGTCTTTCCTTTAAAATGGTTAAGAGAAGGCTTACAGAATCTCAGTTTGAAATGAAGATAATTTTTTTGCACTGTAATTGAGTTCAGTGCAATATACCTCTCCTAGCTAGTCTAAGGGTTGTCATTTGGTTGAACACAAGACTGACCTGGCAATCTTGAGGTAAAGATGCAGCCAAGTGCCATCTCTCCATGTCCTGGGGGCACTTTTAGCAAAAAGAAGGGTATTGTGCTGGGGGACTCTGATAGCTAAAACATCCACTATAGTGGACATGTGCCAGGGAGGCAGCTTCTATACCCATTTACCTTCCCAGTTGCATCCAATCCATATCCATTATATCCTACTGTGAACTAAACTATTGGTCTTTTAACAATTCAAGTAAATCTAAAATAGCTCCTTTCACTAAAGAGCAGGGTCAGTTGAAGTACCACTGAGGGTATGGTCTTTTGGCCTTGTCCAGCGCTCTATCCCTGTGCACACACCCTGCCACAGCAGGTACTCAAAAGATATTCATTATATGAATCGAGCATTCAGTCTAATACTGTGAATGTTAAACATATATTTTGAAAGCCCAATGAATGTATTTATCTGCATCTCATTCAGATCCAGGAAGTTTTTTTGTTTCACTTTGCTTTTTGCTTCACAAATGAGTTATATATTACAGCTAGTTTATATTTTCAAATTAAGATTTATTTGTGCATAATAAATGAGGTTTATTATAGGCTCTTTAGGATTAAGATAGGTCTGAAATGTTCTTGGTTTGCAATCCATAGTATTAATGACCATGACAATTATGGCTGTTTGAACTAAAACAGTAATATTAGTTATACTAAGAATATATGTATTAGTTATATTAATAAGTTTCAAAGTGGTTAGGCAGAATCTAGACAGGAAAAAACTGGGTCCAAGTCCCAGATCTGTCACTAGCTAAGTTAATTTGGGCACTTTATTTTAACCTCTTCAAGCTTATTTCCTTATTGTAAAATGGGAATCATAATAGTATTTGCCTATAATGACAGTATTTTCCAATAGGGTTGTTATAAGGATTAAATAAAAAAAAACACTTAAAAGTGCTAAAATTAGTACTTGGCACACAGCAAGTGCTCACTATGTCCCAATGATGATAATATTTAATGCAGTAGGTTTTCTTCCTTGTCCTATCTGCAGAACGCTAAAGCATTTATTTTTACTCTTGAAAATATATTGACCATTTTTGTGGGAATATAGTTACCTCTGTTCCACGGAGGTCCTTTGGAAAATAGATATCTTCTGTCATTTGAACACTTAGGCCAAAATCCACCAGAACAGCTTTGGTGGACATGAAAACAATGTTGCTAGCTATAAAGAGAGGAAAATTTTAGTTACAATTACATATACCCATAAAGAAAATGAAAACATTACCTAAAACAACCATCTATCCAAATCAGAATAAAGTGAAATGCATTCCCTACTGTGATGGGTATACAATGTTCAAAAGAGGAAGATGAATCTGGTTGGGAGTTTAGGTGAAAAATCACTTCAGATCTGTCAAGAATTCAGCCAATGCAGATATAAATGATTGTAGCCATTAATAATGTTCAAGATACAAAAACCAGGACATGGAAACAATCTAAGTGGTGTCTATGAACAGATACATGGATAAAAAAAATGTGATGTGTGTGTGTGTGTGTGTGTGTGTGTGTAATGGAATATTACTCAGCTATAAAAAAGAAGGAAATCCTGCCATATTTATGACAGCATGGATGGACCTTGAAGGCACTATACTAAGTGAAATGTATCAGGCAGAGAAAGGTAAATACTGTATGATCTCATCTATATGTAGAATCAATATAAAAAAACTGAACTCACAGATACAGAGAACTCCAGAGGCAGGAGTGGGGATTAGGGGAAATGGATGAAAGGCAATCAAACGGTCCAGTTAGAAGATGAGTAAGTTCTGGGGATGCAATATGCAGCATGGTGACTATAGTTAATAATACTATATTATATATTTGAAAGTTGCTAAGAGTAGATTTTAAAAGTTCTCACACCATGCACACACACGATTATAACTATGTGAGGTGATGAACATGTTAACTAACCTTGTTATGATAATCATTTTGCAATATATACATATATCAAATCATTACATTGTATACCTTAAACTTGTACAATGTTACATGTCAATTATATCTCCATAAAATTGGAAAAAATATAATGTTCAAGAGCCTGAGTTTCAAATTCTAAGGTATATAAGCAGCATACTATTATGAAGCCACTTTTCTAAAACAAAAAAGAAAAATACCAATTTTTTTTAAAAAGTAAAAGTTTTGCTAGTCCAACTTAGCATTAGATTCACTAAGGGTTTAGAATTGCTTATTTCCCCACCCTCTCTTACTCTTAGAAACTAGTGAAGGCTTGTTTAATGGACTAATGCTAAAATAGTGTTCAAAACTAAAAAGCTATTTGTTTCTCAAAGTTATGTGATGCTGAGTATGTTTTTAAGTAAATTGTTGTTTCAAAAGTCTTATTAACAAGGATATAGGCAGTACGTAGTAGATATGTCAATGAATAGATGAATTTTCACAAGAATTGGGTAATCATCCTTCCTTAGGACTTTGAAAGCTCTACTGACCTCCACTGGCTTCTAAATGTGTTTCATTCACAAGCAGTGAGGAGAGTGACAAGTGTTCCACAGGAGCCATGCTCCCTGCCACTCAGGGTCTTCAGACTGAAGGGAGGCGCCCACTGGCTTCTGCCCCATTAATTGGCCTCTTTATGCCAAGAACGTAGGCATCCAAAGATAACTTACGTTTAATATCATGGTGAATCACTTTCTTTGAGTGTAGAAAATCAAGTCCCTTGAGAATATGCTTTGTCACCCAAATAATTTCAAATTCTCTCATTGGTCCACAGCTCTCCAGTTTCTCTAGAACAGACCCGCCCTCTCCTGCTTCCATAAAGAGATGCACAGTTTCATCCCACAGGACCACACCATATAACTCAGCAATGTTCTCATGCCGGAAGCAAGCCTGGATTTCCACATCAGATGGCTTAAATTGATCTACTGGGATCTAGAACACAAAATACCAGTGAGATCTAAATAACCATAGGATAATAAAAAATATATATAATATAGGTCAACCCACAAACCTGAGAGCAAACAGATGTCCTAAAGGATACTGTGATCTGTATGAAATTGTATTGCCAAGTTAAAATAATGTTGACTTCAGATCTGCTTTTACATTATGTCAGTTTTAGGTAAACAAAATAAGAAAATAAAAAAATATATTATTTTCATTCAAAATGTAGAAATAGAACCAAAGAATTATGATATGACTGAATCAAAAGGGAGATAATTTCCCATCTATTTTACATGTAATTTCTATGGCACTTAGACTTCAGGTTGTATTTTCAGTATTTCAGCCCAAACTGAAATAATATCTTTGGTCCTACAACTCATGCTCTAACTAGCTTATTCTGTGGAAAGTCAGAAGTCATTGATAAAGAAAGAACTAGATCTTTCAGTGAAAATAAATCTGGAATGTCTCCAACACAGTGTTAGATGAAAACATCTATCTATTTCTGTTAGATACAGAAGTTATGTATATTGTTTTTACTTATAAAAAAAATTTTAACTGTACATATAAATGTCCATAGAAGTTTTCTGGAAGGATATATAAGAACCCAATATGGTAGATGCCTTAAGGAAAGGATCTCATTCTGCAGCCTACATCCTTTTCAATCTGTTTAATCAGATGTTTTTCTTTTTTAAGAAAAAAAGCTTAAAAATTAAATATAACTACAAGAAAAATAAACCCACAAAGCTCTTTTCCCATGTCCATTGTGCTAAAACAGAAAAACAAAACATTTTAGTTCTAAGGGCTGTATAAAATGTCACCAGACATTTTTTTAGGACTTGGAATATGTCCCCCCTAACTGCAAGCTTCAAATGGCTTATTGTAACACCTCCTTTTTTAATTTTCCTAACAGATATGCTAACAAATCCTTATGAACAAATGAGGCCAACATATTGTTAACCTTTGAATTAAGAGAGACTAAGATGATATTCAGCAATTATTTTGTATTTGATTTTTTGTTAACTCAAAATTGAGTTTATTTTATTGCACTTAAAAAAACTTTGTTAAAATAAAAGACATACATAAAAAGGCAAAACTGGTTAAGTATGTAACTCAATGAATTTCCAACTGAACATATACATGTAACCACCCCATAGATCAACATACAGAGCTCTACCAGCACCCAGAAACCCCTGCTGACCCCTGCCCGTCACTACTCTTCAAGAGCACTCACTAACCCGATGTGCAGCAACATGGGTTTACTTAGCTTGCTTTTGGCCTTTATGTAAGTGGGATCTTGTGCAGCACATCTTATTTTGTGTCTGGCTGTTTGGGCTCAACATAATGGTTATGAAATTCATCTACATTATTAAAGTTATAAATCACAGATTCTCTTCACTTACAGTACCCCACTGTGTAAATATACCACATTGCAACATCTGGAAACATTCCAGTTTGGGACTATTACAAACTATGCTGCTATGAGCATTCTAGTACAAAGCTTTTGGTGATGATATGTACATGCCTATAGGGTGTGTATCTACAAGAGTGGGATTACTGGGTCACAGGGCATGTGCATGTTCAACTTGGGTAGATATGACCAAAGAGTTTTCCAAAGCAGAGGCGCATCAGCAATGATTGTTTAATAAGAAGAGATGGGGTCTTTTCAGTAATCAGTCTATTAAATCTAGCCCTTTAATCTGTAGGCCCGAAAAGCCTTGCAACTTCCCCAGCTTCCGTTTCCCTGCCTGGGCTCCTCCCCTCCCCAGTGGGAGGGATTAAGGGAGCAGCACGAGGGGACAGCTCCCCTCCAGCCCACCCCACCCTGAGAGTGATGCTGTTATCTAAGCTGGTGCTAAATAAGCCAGCAGCACATTCTTTTTTTATCAAGGCAAACTAAGATTAAAATCAACCATGCACCTAAGCAGACTTAGTAGCTGAACAGCCCCAGGTACCAAACAAATAAAAAAAAAATGACAAAAACCAGATACATTCGGACAGAGCTCTCTAAGGTAGATCTGATCTACCTTTGATAACAACTTTTCAGTAATGCAAACAAACAAAACCCACAATGCTAAACATGCAGCTCACCTGTCTGGTTATTAAATACATACCAGTTTACAAGCCATTCTTTTCTTCGTCTTTATGTCTTGCGCTAAGTACACTTTTCCAAAGGCCCCCCGAGGAATGAAATCAGAGCCAATATTCCTGTAAGTCAGCTTCCAAGGGATAAGGAGGACATCAGAGTCTATTTGATAGCGTCCATTTTGAGGAGTGATTACCTACAACAAAATAAAAATGCAGGAAGGTGAGAATTTCAGTGAAGCCCTTTTCTAAGACCTACTCTTTAGATACTGGTTACTTTAGACTGCATTTCTATGCACAGTGTTTGAAATTAATGTCACTGTGTGTAATCATAAAGTATACAGAGACTATATTTAGAGCTGCAGCAAAACAGAAAAAGTATGTAACAGAAAGATGTCCCTGGTCAGACCTGATCATATTCCCATCTGTTTATGGGTAATTAATTGCCAAATAGAACTTTAAAAATTATCTAAGGGAGCATGACTACTGTGACCAAAAGTTGAAAATAAAGATTGCATAAATATGAATTGCACCTACGAGTTGACTTGGTTCCAATTAAAATGTGCTAACCTGTTGGTCCACATAGCATTTACTCACACATGATACATACAGAGAGAGTGTGGAAATTAGTTGATGATCACAGAGGATCCTGGAAAACAATGTGTTATGCCAGAGCTATGAGGTGACAATGCTGCATAAATAAAGTAAGGGCAGAATTATTTCTCATCTACTTACTCATTTAACATTTACTATGTGCATAATATGTGCCAGGCACTGCATTTAGAACTGAGGCAGCAGCTATGAACAAGAGACCGACAACCTCTGACCTCCAAGAATTCCTGAGCAAGCAAACACAGGTTTTGTAACCAGTCCAGTCAAAAATGAAAAGAGAGGTAGCCTGGTAGCAGTGTGGATTACAATTGTGTGTGTAATAGTCAAAACTCATCAAACTGGACATTTAAGAGGTATGTATTTTTCTGCACATAAACAGTAAAAAATTAAAAGGAGAAATAATTTAAACTTAAAACAAATTACTAAAATAATCCACAGGAGGTATGACCTAGGGCACATGCCAAAAAAAGGTTTAAAGTGTTCCCTTGAAGGGATAAAGGGTCCCCAAAATACAAGTTATTCTTAAATGTATTCAGTAATATTATGACTTCAGATTATGAATTCAGGAATTATGAAACTATCAAAGTGGCAGTAAATTATTTCAAGTACAGAAGAAGCTGAAGGGGAATGTGACCACACGGGAACAGAATGAAGACCTGACTCATCTGCAGATGCACAGGGCTCCCCACTCAGGCCCCTGATGTGAGAATAGTTCTAGCAGCCCTGAAGGTTACTCATTCAGGCTCCATTTTGCTAACCTTAGCTATACCCCAACAGCTGTGCTCACTATTAGTCAGGAATGAAGTAGAGGCCAACTTGAGTACTTAGAAATGTGAAAGTCACTAAATTTAATATAAAATGTCACTGAGGGCTCCCTCTGTACCAAATCCTCCCCCTGTGCAGAACCCAAGGGGAAGGATGAGGAAGTACAGACCACCGTCTTGCCTTGTGTGAAACATGACCTCCTTTCAAGAACTGTGTCACCTCAAGTTGCCAGAGGCCTCTTTTTACCATGTGCTAAGCATGCAATAAATTTAGTCCCCGTCCACATTTAGACAGGACTACACACAGCACTCAGCTGCACTTGCTTACTGCCTCTTACTTGTTATTAAGTATTTCTTCAGTGGTTAACTTGCCTTCAGGGACATTTTACTTTGTCCAGCTAAATTTGTCATAACCCAATTTGACCCAGTGTCCTCTTATTCTAGCCAAGGGATGCAGAATAATAACAGCAGCTGTATACTGAGTGCTACCTGTGGGCTAGGCACTGTGCTCTGTACTTGCATACATAATTTCATCAACGTCCACAACAATCCTGTGAGGTAACTCTTTTTATCTCCATTTTACAGATGCAGAAATTGGCTTCAAGAGGTTAAGTCACTCACTAGGCAGTGACAGAGTCAGGATTCGAACTCAGGTCTACCTGACCCCAAAGGCACCGCTCCTAAGCTTGGACAAGGGCCTTTTGTCTTCCAGAAGGCTGTAATTAAAAACTGAGCCATGATCAAAACCCAGTTATTAAAAGCCTACATTCACATGTCACCAAGCACCTTAGCTTTAGATCAAATACTGCAAATTGCTTCACTATTTTAAAATCTCCCGAGTTCTGGAACCCTTGTCTTAATGCCCTAAAAGTTCTCAACAGCTTCCCTGATAGGCCCTGCCTGTACAGTGTGAAGTGTAGATACTGCCTGGTGTGCAACTCTGCAAAGTCCCCGGTTCTTCCCCTTCCCCTAGACCTTCCCTATTTGGGTTTGGAAACTTTTTTTTCCCCTTCCTCCTAGGGGCCCTGCCAGACAATCTCACCGAACTCTATGCTGCTTAAGTCTGCCAATTATTTAACTTGCCAAAGCCATCCTCAAGTGAAGACATTATAAGCATGTTCTGCATTTCTTTACCTGGATCACTGTCATTGATACTGAATAATACTGGGCCAGGGAGCAGTTGAGAAAAATCCTTCGGTATTGCAGTAAGAGTAAAATCTGTAAGAGACTTGTGGGATGTGGCTGCTATGAAATGGATGTGACCTTGGATCACATTAAAAGAAGCATATTATCTTGCACAAATGCAAAGCCAGCTCTGTCCTACTCTGCTGGTCACACAACAAAGGGACTGCTATGTTCAAGTTCTGCAGGCCAGGCCCTGGCACTGGCTTGATTTCAGAGGGCAGTAGCCAGATGAGGAGGAAAGTCACCACTACAGCATGCAAGAAGCAACCCACATTATTAGAAGTGTTTGTGAAAAGAAGACGTGGCGAACATGCAATTTTTAAAATATTGGAAAGGCTGTCATAACAAAGAGGAGTAACAATTGAATACAATAACTACCGCAACCACAATGGCTTCCCTTCTTCCAACACTCCTGTGTGTAAACAGGTCACGCACATTATTTACTACACACAATAAGCTCACGGACTAAGTGCTATGATGCTGCCATTTTACAGCATTTTACACTAGGCAGTGACAGAGTCAGGATTCGAACTCAGGTCTACCTGACCCCAAAGGCACCGCTCCTAAGCTAGGCAGTGACAGAGTCAGGATTCGAACTCATGTCTACGTGACCCCAAAGGCACCGCTCCTATGAGTAAACTGAGGCATAGAGGGGTGTAACAACTGGCCCTATGTCACCCAGCTAATCCATTTCAGAGATGAGATACCTACACAAGCACTTTAATTCAGTGGCCTGCTCTCCTCACCACCCCTCAACATAGAGACCTTTTTTATGGCCAAAAAGCAGGACCAGGACAAAGAGGGGTCAGGCATGAATTTTAGTTCTACATCAGAAAGGACTTTCCTACAATTGGAATTGGCCAAATATGAAATTAAATGCCCCAGTATGGGATGAGCTCTTTATCACAGGAGATTTTCAAGCACAAACCAAACTATTCCACCTATTATTGGAAATGATGAAGAGGATGATTCAAGTGTCAGACAGAGAACCTGACTCAAGTACCTTTAAGGGTTTTTCAACCTTGAGAGGCCCAGTCTCCATGACTAACCCCAGAGGAACAGCATTCCCATCTCATACTCACACCTATGAGTGAGCCCTCTGGGGCCCTCCAGCTCCCCTAATAATCACCAGTGAGTTGAATGTCTGGAACCATCTGAGGTTATTCATGCCCAGATTGGGTCACGAATGGTCTAGATTATAAACACTGTGTAGCACTCCCACACAAAGCAAACCCCAGGTTAGTTTCCTAAAGTTTCTTTCCCAGGTCCTACTGGATATTGGTGGAATCTTTATTAAATATTATTTTTAGGAAAACAGTATACACTTGACACACACATACAGACCACCATTTAATATGCCTATGCATCAGGATATTATTACAATTCCTGGTCCTCCATCCTCTCTAATTAACTCCACAGGCTTTGTGATTGTTGGTTCCTAGAAGATATGTTTCTCTGCCTTCCAGGCCTTTGCATATGCTCTTCTCTTCATCTGGAATACTCTCCACTCTCCATCCCCATCATTTGGCTGATTCCAACCTAACAGCTCAGGGGGCAAATCCTCTGGGAAGCTGGCTGACATTCCCTTTCCCTACCCACTTTCATGGCTTTATGAGATACCTTGCCTGAGCTTCCCCACAACAACTAGAGTGTAGTTGTATTGGGAAGTGCCCCACTGCATTAAAACTGCCTGTTTACTTGCCTCCTGCATCTAGATTGTAAGCTACCAGAGGACATAGACTGTTCAATACAGCATCTCTAGCACCTGAAAAAGTGCCTGATACACTGTGGATGTTTGAACTACATCTCCAAATGAATGGGTGAATACTTAAATGAAAGTATCTGTCCCTGTGTAGATACATGTAGATCAATGTTGCCTTGAAACCAATCTATCTGGTAGATAATTAGCTTTTCTGTAAAGCAGAGAAACAACAGTAAGTAAAGCCCAGGAGAGAAGAATTTGGGTAGGGTATTAGCAGGAGGATCATGGGAAAAGAAAGGTCTTGAATGCAGGATGGTTCCAAGGAGAGCACCACATGAGGATGAAAGGCAGTCAAGAGCAAACTGCCTCCTTTATCATCCTTTCTCAGATTGGCTATGATTAGGGCAGCAAGTCAGGATTCCTTATGTCATCATTTGTAAAACGGAGCTGTGAGAGGTTGTTAGCAGCCACAGAGTTGTAGCTAATCATTAAGCTCAGGGACGAGAGTCAGCTAGGGCCCCCTGAGCCATCAGCCACTGGGTTAATTTGCCCAGTGAGGCGCGGTCTACAGTCTACATGTAGATTTTAAGGTTCACCTGTTACTCCATTCTAGTTTTAAGTTTTCTAGCTTTATATTTTATATTCTTGGTCATTTTTAAAATAAAAATCTTCTTGAAGTTTTAAAGATCCCTGCCTTTATGGTATGTCTGGTTCTTAAATTTTCTCCTGAATATGCATTTATTTATTTAAAGTAGGAACATACTATCCTTGGCAGCAGCTGACAACATTTTCCTCTTACTCTTTGTTGATAAAATTTTCACTTCCTTTTAATTTCTTCGTTTCTCTCCTTTTCTGCATAAGCTTTTTTCTTCTTACTCCAAAACCTTCAGGAAGCTGTTTCTTTGTATCTTTATAATTTTCCTGTATTTCTTTCTGTATATCCCCTAATGACTCTCTATGGCCTATCCCTAATCAGTCTGATAGGCCAGAAGAAATATACCCAAGTTTCTATGCATTTACAAGCAAGAATAATTTGCTTATTCTGCACATTTTCCTTTAAAATACCTATTCTAACAAATAATAAATATATTAAAAAATGAGAAAAAAATACATTAACTATTATGTTTCGCATTATAGGTATATATATTATTTTGAACAGAGTTCTCCAGCCATATTTTAGCTAAGAAAATTGGGTACTGCTCCTAGTTCAAATTACCACTTTCCATGTGTAAGAAGGAATATTGTCAAGATAAGGTAAAGTACTTAGTCAACTATTAATTGCTAATTAGTTTTGCTAATCTAGACCAAAGCGAGTCACACAACTATGCAGAAGGTAATCTTGTTCCAAATTGAGCTGTAGGTGAACACAACTAGTTTCTAACAAAACAATTCACTACATAGCTGACCTAAATTACTTGTTTTTATTGAATGTGGTATGCAAAAAAAACAAGATAATTAAGTACTTTGGCCAATCCGTACTCCTTAAGCACTGACCTTCATTAGCCATTTTGCCATGTAGATACACCAAAGGAAAAGGAGTCACTTTCATCAATAAGTACATTTTGCAAGTTACCACCTACTCCTTTGCCAATAGTTGCTTTAAAAAAATTAGATCACCTTTGACATACTAAGACTGACAGAATCCTAATCCCAGGCACATGTAAACACATCAACTGATCTACTTTGTGGCAACAAAGTGTTGTCACAATATTTTGGATTATTTGCATATTTAGGATGACTAAGTAAATATATCATTTGCCATTCATACTCTGCCAATAAACAGAGTAAATCTGTGGATAGCTATTTACTGCCTATGAACTATATTTCTGAAAGAATGAAATTCAGCCAGTAGTAATATTGTGACGTTTCAATATGTGACAAGAGAGGAGCAAAAAACTCAGCCTTCAAATATGTTAATTAAAGTCTGTACGCTCCTCTTAGATGAAGGATTCTCATTAAGCCTTTCTCTTCTGACCGATGAGCGAGATGTGTAATGGATTATTAAATTAAACATTCTTCTCAATTACCTATTTGTAGAATTACTACTAAAATATGGGAAAGATTCTTTAAATGTAACTTTTAATGAAGGCCTTTTTGGAACCTTTAACATGGAGGGACTTCTTATAGATATTACATTTTTCAAAATCATACCTAGCAACTAGTCTAAACCAAGTTCACATGCCACTCTGCATTAAATGAAGCTTCAGTAGTAAGGCTGAACTGATGCAGAAAAAACATACCATATTTAATAAAATTCCGGATTCCTGAGGCCGGTGTCCATAAAAACGCTTTGTGGTATTGGATATATGGTTTGCAAAAGCAAGCAAATCTTCCACAGTTCCATATTTGACTGATGATAACCAAGACATCTCTTGGCCACTGAGCAGCAGAGACTCGGAATGCTCCTCATTATGATTATTATTGTCTTGGCACATGGTCATTAGACTGGGTTCATAAACCGCTGGCTCTTCACTCACATAAAGGTTTTCCATAATGTCTATGACATCAGACATGTTCAAATGTTTAATTAACAAATCGATTTCTTCTTTATTGTCACTGTCAGTGCTCATGTACTCCATTACTGTTAGGCTTTCCGGGGAGTCTGCAAAAGAAAACACAAATCCTTAGCTTACTGTACTTGCATTTGAAATCAATGGGAAAATGACATCAAAAGATTGGGAATAGGCTGCTATATGCCTGTTTATAAAATGAGGACTTGGTGTCTACAGTGTGTATGAATTCAAGTTGGCAGCCAGATAACCTTTTGTCCATCCACTCAGTTTGCAGAGGGGAAACTCTAAGATCCAAGGAGCTAATTCGTTATTCACTTACTCACTGAGTTGGTGGCATCAGCTATACCCACTGAAAACAACTTTCGCTGAACATAAACACAAATAAGATCAGCTTAGGAATCTGAGGAGCTAAGGCTTCTGACCCTTTATAGCAGCTTCCAACCCTACTGCTCCCCTAAAGGGGCCAATCCTCCCTGCTCGGATCTCTGGGGCTTTTATGCCTCTGGGTGACTTTTAAAAACAAAAAGGAACTACTTTACCAAAGTCAGGAGTTAACTTAGCAAATAAAATTCAGGCCCTCAAAACAAAATTATGTCAAATGAATTTTAATCTAAGCAAATTGATAATGGTGGGTCAACTTTGAGGAATAACTCTAGTACAAATCAGTTAAAGAGCTCCTTTAGATGGGGGATATAGTCTCAAATCCTCATTCTGCCAGCAATGAGTATGAGAAAGGGGAAGCTTCATTTAACTTGTGAATCTGTGTATCCTCTTGGGACCAGAAATCTTTAACGGTACAAAGCTGTTATCTCAAGGGCCCAGGAAGGCTAATTTACTATCTAGATCAACAACCCTCTAGAAGTTGTGGTACTACAAAGATGCAGGGAAAACTAAACCCATCATAAGTAAGGCATGCAAAAGGTTGACTAACTATATTAGCTAGTATTGTATTTCAGTTTTTACATATAAAGCAGGTGTTACATCTGTAAATGAGAAAAAAAAAAAAAGATAAACCAAGACTGAAAAAATGATAGTTAGGATTTTAGAACAACTCCATTCTAAAGGATTAAAGATGAAAGGACTGAAGAGATCTAAGAGAACTTGGAGACATGTATTTCTACTTAAATTACTGTGCTCCTAAAAGTACCACCTCTCTCTTTGAAAGATGGTTCAGGTTCTTAAAAGCACAAGCCTTTATTTAACACGTTCAATGCTCAGTGCCACAAGCTATAGGCTTTGATCAACTTGGAGCTCAAGTACAAGGCTCTAGGAAATATTCCCCCTTAGGGGCCACCTGCAACTCTGACTCAGACATTGGCCTCCGAATTTAATTTAAGAGAAGAATCATGCAATGCAGTGTGATTCAAAGTTACATGACAATCATTTTCTGATGTGCAAGTTGTGTCTGAGGAGGACAATCTAGAATCCTGCAGTTTCACATTCCATCTAGACTCAACCTGCTTAGGAACAGGTCTCAGCCCCCATTTCCTGCCTACATGATCTCAGGCAAAGACCTTAACCACTTTGCACCTTGACTTCCCCCATTTGTAAAATGGGCATAACAACAGCACCTACCTCACAGCATGGTTGTGAGAATTTAAAGAGCTCATTTCATGTGCATAAAGTGATTGGTGCAGTGTCTGGTGCATAATTAATAACCTGTGTCATCTGCCATGGCTACTGTATGCATAAGAGAGACAGGTACTGAGGCAGACCCTGGCTTTTTAGGTACTGTACTAGGACCTCCTTTCTTATCTGCAAATGGGATGTGCTTGCTCATTCCCTGGGACTCTTCCCAGTGAAGTTTTAAAGACACTACAACAAGAGATAAGGGAAAAAAGGCAGAAACTTAGGTAATGCTTTGATGGCTGTTACCCCCAGGGCTGCATCTAGAGAGCAGAGGGAGCCTCCCCCATCCCTCCTTCAGAGATTTTGTATTATCTTTGAGAGAGAGTGTGATCCAGGCTCCTGGAATCTATTAAATCATGAAAGGAATTTCTTAAGCTAATGGAGGAACATTGGACTTTGACTTCGTGGAGCTATTTACTTGCAGTTTCTGCTTGCAGCATTTACTGAAAAACAGAAGTTAAAACAAAAACAGTCTGATTTAGCACCCTACTGGCTGAAGAGTTCAAGGCTCCTTGACTTATCAAATGGCCTACTCGGGAGGAAATAAAGTTCCCAGTAGTAACATGACTCAAAAAAGAAAGAAAAAAAGCCCATAAAGTTTACAAGCCAGTCAGCTGACCCAGAGAGGAAAGACAGGTTTTGTTTCTTAAGTCCTGCAGATTGTCTCAAGCCTTTATATCTAAAATCTAAGCGGTTAATACACACACCCCTAAACTGCACACTGAGGGAAGGTGTTAGGAAGAGAGGAGAAAGGAGGCCAGGAGAAGGAGCGGCGTGTAAGACAGGAGACCATCTTCACCCCCCGACATAATTCCTTAGCAACGCAGGGCTCCTGTGATGAACATCAGCGCTCCCCTAGCAACTCTGCTGACCAGTCCACCTGCTGAGTGCCCCTGCAAAAAGCGTCAGTACTTTCAGGCCTTAATTAGCACACAATCCGATAATCATTTCTGGATTATTCACAGAATCAGTCCTCATCTAGAAAAGGTGTGGATTGTGAAGATATTCTACTGTTGCAATAAAGACCCTTCCCCACATAGATAAAAATAAAAATCCTCATAAAATCCCAACTTGTTAGCACAGTAGATGATTATGCCAATTTTAGACGTGGAGAAATGGGCGATATAGTCCAAATTATTTGCTTTGAATTATTTCAGAAATCAGCAATAAAGCCCAGGGAAAATCCTATTCCAAAACAGTCATATCATACTTTCGGCTACTTCCATCTACCTAAACCAACGTTGAGAAAATTCCTGGCAAGTGTAAATAAAATGGCCAAGATTATAGGCATGGGCTTCTGCCTAACAAAAGATAATTATGCCTGTGTTACTTCCCACTTAAAAGATGTTTTTCTGCCAGAATAGTACATTGCCCCACCAGGCACATGTTTCATTATATTTTCGTTCCCCAAAAGCCCCAGAATGACACAATCTGACTATATAGGAGCTCAGACACTGCTTCAAAATCAATTTTCTTTACACAAAAAAAGTCCTTAAGGGCCATGTGCCAGAAGTACTGCACACAAACCTCCATCCATCCATCAGAGCTGAGGGCGTGTGCTATATTCAGATTATACTCTAGTAGGCAAGTACCAGAGAATCAGGCCACAGATGTGTTAAACAACGGTAGTAGTGTGCCTTTCTGTTTTTATCAGGTGCAGCTCTTTATTTCGGACCAAGTATCTCTCTCCAAAAGTGAAATACACAATGTTTTTCTTAAATACAGCTCCCTGCTCACTTTTGGGGCAATCCGCGTGCACACCGCATTCCCTTCTAAACTAGCGAGGTTCTCCGCCTAGATCTGTAATTTCAGAGGCCTCATATCGCTTTACCACAGGGAAACATCTGTGAATTAAGGTTTGTTTTCTCCTCTAACATTCTTTCTTAGACCAAAAGCCCGGCATTCACGTTCTGCTATAACGACCCTTTAGTCACAGAATAGAGTCCCGGTTAGAAGCATTGAATTAAGTCTCAGCTATTCAAAAGGCTCTCTGCTTGCCATCCACCCCCACTCCCTTCCTCCTATTCCTTAACGCCGGGGAGCCAAAAGGTCCTGTAATCATAAAAGGAGCCAGGATTCCGGGGGCAGCAGCCGAGTCTCCCGGCCTCCGAGGTGCACTCACCAAGGCCGGACAGGGAGGGTGCAGCCGTCCCGGCGGTGGACGCAGTTAACAGCGGCTCAGCTTCCCTACGCACTGCCCAGACTGGCACTGCTCGCGCGCTCGGGATCCGGGAAGGGGAGGAAGGGGGAGGAGTCGCGAGCCTGCACCCCGTGAGACCCTTGCGCAAGGTGCTTTCCAGCTGCCCCGGCTGCAGCCGCGACCCGAGCGAGATACTAAGGCGCAGCCGCGCGGTTGGTGGGCACGCCCCCGCCTCCTCGACCCCTGCGTTCTCCGCGGGGGCATCCTCCATTTCAGGGTGTCAGTCGCTGGGGAACCCGGGAGGGCTGCCACCAGAAAGACATTCCCAAGCCCCCCAACTGTGTGTTACCTGCGGCCTCCGCGCGCCCCCGCGGGCCGAGCGCATCAGCCGCCTCCCCCAGATGGCACCGTGCACAGCTGGTGGTCGGCCCTCCGGGGCCACGGGGCCCGGCGGCAGTAGGAGATGGAGCCAGGGCGACCGGCCCCGGCGCGTGGCGCGTCGTCCCGAGCGGAACGGACTAGTGAGCCCCTGCCGCCCTCGTCTGCCCCTGACTCACGGCGTCTGAGCCGGCCGAGGGGCGGTGCAGCGGACGCCACCCGCCGCCGCCTCCCCGCCTTTTCCATTTCCCCTTTCTCTCCGTAAACAGAAAGAGGCTGCCGCGTTGCGGGGAAGCCGGAGCCCCTGCTCTGGGAAATTCCGTCCTCCCCCTGTTTGCCCTCGGGGTGCCCGGGCGGAGTGGAAGGCGGGACGGGGGAGGAGCCGAGAGCTGCGCAGGGAGGGGCGCTGGCCGAGCCCGGAGTCGGGAGACCTGGCGGTATTAGGAGTCGCAATGGATCGCGGGTAGCGCCGCACGTCCGCCGCTGACTCGGATCACGTTCACACACGAGTGCCACGATCTGTGGTCCGCACGCACGGACTCCGGTTTAAAGGCCTGGAAGAGGCTGCCGCAGGGTGGGCCTGAACCGGGGTCCAGCACCTGGGCAGGGGCTGGTGTACTCCGCCAGCCAAACCTGGTTTTGTTCTTTACAGCCTTATTGGAAAGGACCATTCTGTGGCACCGTACCATAACAAAGTGTACCAGTACTTATCTCCTCCTAACTCCAGCTGCGAGTCTGGGATTCTCTGTCCTGCTTGGGAAGATCAAAGTTCGTTCATAGTGTTCTTTCTTCTTGAATGATTAGCGTTTGCTCTGGGTGAAGTCGGAAGAGAGTTTTAGGGAAATAGAACTTATCTCCCCGAAATCCACTCTCCCGGACATTCCCAGTCCCTACAGAGTTGCAGTGCACCGCCCCCCCCCAACCCCCTCCGCCCCAATACTAACCTAGTATCAAGCACTTACTATGGGCCTGACGTTTTGCAAGGCGCCTGGAGAAGAGAGAATGTAAGGTAGACAGACATCCTCCCTCTTACCGAACCGGACATTGGGCTTCCCAGGCGGGGCCGGATTCAAACGCCCAGGACTCTGGCTCCCTGTCCTGCCCTTTCCCATAGCAAACTTCCTTCTGCCCCGAGTTGCAAAACAGCATGGGACTCGCTCTAACGCTCTCTTTTGTGGGAAGAAAATTGCTTTGCCCACCCGAAGAAGGCACGTGAGAATTGCTAATGGACCTGGCTAGTCTTCGTGACATTCAAGGCCCTCCTTGTAGGGCTTTAACTCCGGTAATTGCTTTGTGCTTCTCTCCAGGCAAGAATGAGGATGGTAAGTGATTGACAGTCACCTATACCGTCGGTAAAAGTGAGCCGGGCTAGCAAATCAAACTGCTTGCCTGAGCACTAAATCACTCTGCCCTCTCCCAATTATTTTAAATCCTGGAGTGCGGTAACAAGGATCACGTACCATACCCTCGAACTCGCCAGGTGGCCCCAGGCAGTGGAAGCGCCCCAGCGCCTGAAGGAAAAGCCCTGCTTTGGCCCTGGGCTTTTCTGGTCTCGGACTGAGCGCAGCTTTAATCAACACTGCTTCTCTGACTCGGCTGGTGCAGCGTGCTTGCGCTGGAACTGAAGTTTGAACTCCTTCAGCTTTTTCTCTGGAAACCAGGTTAGCCAGGTTGTTACTTCTAATTGTAACCTGAGACGCCTGCCCCTCATCTGTTGTCTTTGAGGAACAAAGGGTGATCTTTATATCCATTTTAAAAATAGAAACATGGAACCACTCCTGCCCCCACCCCCTTGAATGAGCTCATCAAAAACCACACCTAATCTTCTGGGAACTAAGTATTAGCCTTACTTCCTATATAGAAGTCTCCCAAATATAGCTACATTTTAGGGAGATGGTGAAATGGCTGCTGGAGCAGGGTTCTCTCTGGCTGTTTAATGACTTATGCAATAACAGAGTTCACCTGGTAAGGTGCATTAAGAAGAGCTTTCAGTTAAAAACATTTTTAAAGACTAAGTTGAGGTTGGATTTAGTGACTGGTAAAGACATTGAGAAGAGAGAAAACTGAAAAGAAAGTTTTTTGATTCTGCAGTTTTCTCGGTCAAGACTTTGTTACACAGGCTTCCAAAAGCAATCTTACTCTTTGAGGAGCATACCACTAAAGTGGGGTTTAAGCTTGCTGGTGAGCGGGTGTGCACAACCATACAGAAGAACTCTCTTGAAGCTTTTTGCAGCAGAGGAAATGCACTTTAAAATTGACTTGCAACTGGTTACAATTCACTTGAAGGGGCTTTCTCCACTCACAGATTGGGACAATAGTGGGTTTGTAATCTTTTAGTTTGGAAATCAGAACTCATTTACTCAGGGAAACAAAATAGTAACAAAGGGTAAGTGACCTGGTCCACACATTGGCATATGTTACCCCAAACAGTGCTCTATACTAATAAAACACACTGCTCTCCATGTTTTTCATAGTCATAAAATGTAGTATGTTTAGAAAATTCTTTGATAAATTGGAACAAATTGTGAGATATCTATATGTGTCTTGGTGAAAAAAGTTTCATTTTCTTAAATTATAACAAAATACAAAGTATTTGAGGAAGGTCATTAAATACTGAAAATACTGAATTTGAGTAAAGCTTTAAATCTGATATTTTTAAGTTAAGAGGAAGTTGGGCCTGATTTCATCAGCATAAGTTTCTTCTGTATGCCTTTGTTGTAACAACTATACTTATCAATTGAGATGTTTGAATAATGATCTTTTCAGACTTCTGATAATAATGTTCTCAGATGAGAAACTGCACAGACATGTGGGTAAACTTAAAACCATTATTATAACCTTTAAAATTCTTAAACAACTGAAGTTGTATTTTAAAAATCCAGTAGCTCTTCTTTTTCTTTCATTACCATATGTAACTTTTTTTATGATGATGTGCATGAATATCATTTATAATTGAACTTTTTCATAGTAGGTCTTTCAAAATGACAAGGCTTAATTTGTAGCACATGCATGCACTGTTAGAGCACTTGGCTTGGACAACACAAAAAAGACACACCAGCCCAAAGGCTGAAGTGTTCAGTGAAGGAGGAGATTCAGGGCTGCCTTCTGGAGCTGAGAAATCACCAGACCCTCATGCACAGAGGACTGCTCCTGGGGCTCTAACTGTGCTCCTCTGGTACCTGACACCCAAACCCCTTCCTCCAGCATGGCCTGGGCCCCCTGCAACTGACAAACTGACAGCCTGCTCGGCCTCACTCTCCATCTGGAGGTGGATGGGATGTCCATCCACCTACTGTAGAGACAGACCCCATGGTGCATCATGAAATTCTGCTGATCCCCACAGACCCTAAGGCATCCCCGATGAAAATGCAGAGGCAAGAGGCCCTGGAGCCTCCAGCCTGTCTGGCTGGGGTAAGGAATGGAGGGGTGAGCATCTGTATTGCATTCAGGGCCCATCAGGTGCAAGGCTGTACCCTCAGGGCCTGCATCCCGCCCGCTTTGAACCCTCCCTTGGACTCTTGGGGAGGAGTCAGCTGGGATGAAGGGGACAGTCTTCCTGTCCTCCCTTTGGCCTTCTCACCTTTTGGGACATCACTGGACTCACCAACTTTTGCCATCACTGTGCAAAGTGGGAGCAGCAACTAAACGAGGGAAATGGGGCCTGGGTCAGAGCCCCATTGTGAGAGGAGAGGTTCTGAAGGAACTTCAGCTCTCTCCCACGGGATAGAGATGTGCAGGAGGGCTGAGGCCAGGAAGCATCAGGAATGGACCACTCGTTCTGCTTATCCTTAAGGTAAACCAGCTTCAATTCCTCTCCAGCTCTTCAGGGACATGGTGGGACTTCTGCCCCCTTTTACTGTGGTTCTGGGTGGGTTGATGGGCATATGGGGAGGCTACTGGGGCATAAAGCCTGTTCCTAAGAGTCTTAAGAATGTTGAGCCCACACGCACGTGGGGGAAAGGGGAGAGAAACCCCAGTGGCTGCAGGAAGGGGAGGGAAGTTCCTAACACTCTCAGCTGTGGCCTTTGTTTCTCAATGAACCCGTGTGCACATCCGGCCTGGGTGTGAATCAGAGACCGTCTGTTCTAATGGGCAGAAAGCTAAAACTTAGTTCTCTCAAAGAGCCAAAATTGTCCTCTTCTGTGTATTTGATGTTTTTATTTTTTGCTTTGTGCTGTGACTTCCCCAAATTTGAGGTCCTTGAACCACACTTTGAAAACAGAAACTACCGCTCTGCACTTCTCTCTTCCACCTCCTAAATAAAAACCCCTGCTACAGCATTTCTTAATCTCAGGCTTCCAAAATTACAACACGGCTCAGGATGCCCCCAGGAACTGTGCAAGACCCTGTCCATAGGCCTATGCAATAGCTTTCATTTTTCACATTTTTAGGATGCTATGCCCCCAAAGTGCATGGGCCAAACTTCCTAGAGCAGACCCTGGTGGGTTTGTGGAGATGATCCACAGTGCAACCTTAGGGACCTCCTATGACTTTTTATTACTCCTCAGTAGCCCCTCCCCAGCCCCTCAATAGTGTGCATTGCCAGCAAATGCTGCTTAGGAGGGCCCTTATTGCCCCAGATGCGAGGGACCTGCAGGCCACAGGTTTGGTGAAGGGAAGCAAATAAGTACAGCCTAAGCCCGCTCTGTAACTGCAAATGTAAATGCATAGGTAGAGATAAAATGATAGAAGAGCATACTCTCTCAGAACAATAATTAGCTAATATCCTTTGACATGGTATTTTTAACACACAGCATGTTAAGAAATGGGTCAGATTATTTCAACAGCCTAAAAACAGGTATGGTGTGCTTATCTTCATGTGATTTGTTTTAAACCAAGTCATTCTTGCCCTTGCAATTCCCTTATGGTGCTAAAAATAAATGCCAACATATTCAATCTCTTTAGTTTGGGTACAGACCTCTTTCTTTTCTCAATTAAAGCCATGGATTGATGTTTATCAGAACTTCTTGCTTAGTATCAAGATGCTTTAAAGGATGTATTTCATAATAATGGAGCATCATTATATACTCTGACCATATTAAAAATCACAATAAGAGCTATTTATTTTGAGCACTTACTACATGCCCAGCGCTCTGCTAAGCTCTTCAGCTGGAATACCTCACACCACTCCTGAGGTGGGCACTACTCTCTCCTTTTACATGGGAGATTTGTGTGAGTTTAAAGAGGTTAAGTAATGTGTCCAAGGAAACCGGATCCTAATCCACGCCTGTCAGACCCCAAACCCAAATAAACAACTCCCTGCATCACCAAGCATGGGGCCGCCTCCCACAGCAGAGGCACCTCGGGACCAAGCTGACATTTGTTGGTACCTGCTGGCGGACAACAGGCCCCATAGGCCAGCTG